AGGTGCACTATCTATTGGGAAAAATGACACGAAAAACACAGAATTCCAACTAATTCAATAAGATTGAAGGGAAATACTCTCCAGCCACTAGTAAAAGTGTAGTTTGCGTACTTCCTGCACTAGAAGAGGTCCAAAAATTAATAAAAAAGAAGTGGAATGAAAAAGCCAATCAAATAATAAGATCATTGAAACTCGCAAATAACTCCTCCATTTCCTCCAATGTATATCTCGCCATATCCGTATGCTCATCTTCAGGTATCTCGTAATAGAAGTTAGGCTGCGGTTCGTTCAGTACGTTGTTGGTTTCAGCGTTCTGTAAAAAAAATCGATAATGGAGAGGATGTGTTAAGATAGTGCTCACATCGAAGAGATAACTATAGTCGTCTGGTTCATCTTCTAGACCACGAAATTCGATTTCTTCTTTTTCTTCCCTAATATCGGACAGTTTACTCGTCGACATCAGCTAGAAAGGTCGTAAAAAATCAATCGATTTGCATCAGCCGGGATCACACCTTCTGCAAGTATTCCTCCTCATTTTTAGCATCGGCGTCTACAAGTGCGCTACTGTCTAGAAAGATAAAAATTACGGTGTAATTAGATTTTTCAAATGACGTACCTGTTGTTCGAACTTTTCAGTAAAGCAGTTGTCTTCCTCCAAGTTGCAACCCTCTATTGGCTCGTCTTCGCTAACATCAAAATCCAACGCCTAATTCAAGAACAGCTTGCGAAAGATCAAGCAAATTCCGTGTAAAACGAAGATTAAAACAGGCATTAGAAAAAAAACTTACGGCTCTAGGTTGAGATTGTGAGTATTGTGGCCTTAAACACGTAATGTACTATCGAAAATTTCATATACAGAAAGTAAATACCTAGCGAAGCAGGGCGGTCCCTATTTGCATCAGCGATCTGCAGCTAAAACAAAGGAATGATCAATTATCCAACATAACATTACTACTCGTGATGATTTCTTGACAAATAAGAAAATGAATACCAAAATTCAACCTACTTTTGGGCACTTGCAGCAGGTTTCAGTAGATTTCTTC